TTCCTCTTTTTGTCCAGGCTGTGTGGTTGAATTCTCTTGAGTTGAAGTTATTTAGGTCTAACACATGGCTCTCAAATCTCGGGTTGTTATGGTACCTTAGCCAGAAAAATTCACGTTGAACTATTCATAGACATTTTTCACTAATCATGGGGTTTGTGGAGCCTCGGATTAAGATTTCGTGGTGCTATCTACCTTTAATATGCTGCTGTGACACTTTAGCAGAATGACCTTTGTGGCTTTGTAGAGAGTGACATCATTTACTTCCATAGCTGCATAAGGACTGTTCTTTAAAACTCTCCCAAGTGCTGGAAAAAAAAGGACTCTTCAAATGCTGTCAACCTAAAGGCTCAAAGGGACCCTGGGCTAAGCACAGAATAGTGGCACCAAAGTGGTCTTTGCAGCTGACCCCTATATTTTCTGCCCTCCTCCCAAGCCAGCCTGTTGGCTGACTGGCCCTTCTCCACAGATGTCCTCTTGAGCTGCTTACAGAGTTTCAGCACTATATTGAATGGCAAGATGGATCACCTACAGGACCACCGTGGATCCCCAATTAGCCCTATCAAGCACTGACACTGTGCTTGTCACCACCAGCTCTGATGGTTTGGACATGTAGAAATGTACTGTGGGAGAATATTCAAACAGCTGCTGTAAGGTGAGCCGACGGGGGCAACTACCAGCAGGCTGAGAGGAAAACATAATTCACTGGCACCCTTCAGCAGAGCTCCGAGCTGAGCAAACACTGCTGCAGAATGCTCAGGGAGGAGGTAGACAGACAAGCCAGCGCTCTAGGACAGCAGTGACTCTTTCAGCAAAGAGAAAGAAGTAGAGACTGGAGACAGGGCTGGTGACAGTGACAGGCTCAGGAAAGCGCAGCTGATTCAGCAATCCAAAGGTGAGCCATCCCACATACTCCACACCCACGTGGAAAGCGCACATAATCTCCCAGCCTGCATGATTGTCTGTCTGTAAGAATAATAAACACTATGGACTATACTTGCTCTAAAGCAGATTTAGCAAAGTCCCAGAAACAGAATAAACTCCTAGGGGTTAAAGAATCAAGGCAGCGAAAGGATTACCTGTCTATTATCCCAAAGAAAATAGGGTCTTTACCTTTGTAATTAGTTAGGATGAGGTCATACTGGGTTAGGGTGAGCCCCAAATCCGATATGACTGGTATCCTTAAAATAAGAGGAGAGGACACAGAGACACAGGGAAGAAGGACATACGACTATGGAGGCAGAGATTGCAGTGAAGCAGCTATAACCCAAGAAATGCCAAAGACTACCGGCAGCCACCAGCAGCTAGGAAGAGGGGAGGAAGGCTTCTTCCCTAGAGCCTTCAAGGGACATGGCCCTGCCAACATCTTGATTTTGGACTTGTAGCCTCTAGAACTCTGAGCAAATAAATTTCAGTTTTAATTTGTGGTAATTTGTTACAGCAGCCCTAGGACACTAATATAGTATCTATCTATCATAACTAGTTCCAAATATATCCCCTGTATAGTTATTCATTAGCAAATAATTAATAAGTAACCACTATGTACCAGACAGTCTTCTAGCAATGAACAAAAACATAGAAAACTCTCTGCCTCCATGGAGCTTATATTTTAGAGTAGGAGGAGACAGAAAATAATCAAAATAAAGAAGTAAAATAGTCTGTCAAAGGATACAGTAAGGGGTCCTACAGGGTAAGGTGGAGTAATAGTTTCAAATCTGAATAAATTGAACACTCTCGGTGGATTTTGATCTGATCATTGAACCCAGTATTCTAGTTTATCATTCTTGTGAAAAATGGTACACACATAAGGGTATATGGGGGAGACAAGAGCTATTATTATATCAGAGTTTCTGTTATATCAGTTTCTGCTCTAAAACCAGGAAAACCATCCATCATAAAGCTCATTGTGAAGGGAAAAGAACAATACATTAGCAAAAATCATCAAGGCTGAGAGGAGAATTCCCAAGGATTTTGTGACTAATACACACTTCCTGGCTGATTTATAAATGAACCCAGCCATCCCCAACAGTGTAAAAGACCTCAACAAAACAGAAGTGATTCAGCTATATAAAACCACTCCTTGAGAAAAAAAAGCAAAGAAAGGTCTGGACAGGAGAACTTTTGTCATCCAAGAGTCTCATTAAATTATCACTCAAGCAAATGAAAGCTCTAGAACTGTCTAAGAGAATCTTCCACAATGAAGGAGATGTTCTAACTACACAGTCTAATATGTAAATCACTGGTCACATGTGATTATTGAGCACTTGAAACACGGCTAGTGAGACTGAAGAACTTAATTTTTAATTTGATTTAATTTGGATTAATTCAAATGACCACATCAATTAAATAACCAGGGGTGGCCAGCAGCTACTCTTTTGGAGAGCAAAGCTCTAGAACTGCAGTAGGCTGGCTATGGAGAAAGGCCTGAGAGACCCACTGAGTCTGAGATGGGGCCAGTTCCATAAGTAAAACCAGATTAGGGAAACTTCATAGCATGCAAAACTATACTGTATTGGATTTCTAGGACATATTTATTTCCTTAATCCTCTCAGTGTCCTTATAGATGGTCAGTAGTATCATCCCCATTTGCTGGATGAGGAAATCAAGGTTAACAAGATTATTTGACTTGCCCAGGGCCTTGCAGCTTTTAAGGGGTAGAATCAGAGATTTGAATTTAGCTTTGACACCAAAATCCATACTGTACCCAGCAAGGCATGCCATCTATGGCACCTTTCACTCTTGGGATTTCTTTCATTCCCACCCTTTCTGAACATTCTAAAACACAAAAGTGTGTGTGTGTACACGTGTGTATGTGAGTAGATTTTGCGCAACAGGTAAGTCTAGGGGTTACTTGAGTGCTTAGTGTGGATCTAGTATTCTATACAGGTCAGTATCTTTTAGCCAACCAGTCCCATTTTCCACTTGGTCACGCAAAGTGGAATGTCAAAAACAGTGTTGGAGCAAACAGGATGCGTGAATGCGTACTTGATGACTAACCTAATAAGGCCAGAATGGCACATTAAATAAACCTTTCTCCCTTGGACACATTCAGCAAAAGTTCTATTTCACAGCTTTCCTGGTCCTAAGGGAGCTCCCACTCCCCCAGCAGTAGAGACACTCAGAAACCCTAAGGCCACAGGTCTTTTCATCAAGGAAAACAGGAGGTAAGGGAAAGAGGAAAAATGATCAATAGGGTATCTCATTAACAGTATGGGGATTTGCAAATACAGGTTTCAGAGAGTGATGGTGCTAACTCTGGAGAAACTGGGGGGCTCAGCTTCTCCCCCAACCTCCTGTGTGCCCCCAATGGAGAAGAGCAACTGAGGGGCTTGTGAGGCAGTAGAGCAGCAAGTGCTGAAATCCAGATGAAGCTATGGTGGGAAATGTGACTCTCCCAAAACAAAGCCACAGCTGGTTTGTGGTAGAGGCACTGACACCTTCTGTGCTATGGCTATTAAGATTTCTGCAGCATTATGAGGAAGGTTTCTGATGGGATTAATTTTGCATCTTTTTAAAAAGTTTCACTATGCCTGGAAATATACTTGATGAAATTAATAAAGCAATTCTTATTTGTCTCTTTAACCTCCTGGAAGGTCAACAGAGTCTTTCATCATTGTACTGTAATCTTATCCTGCAAGGAACCTTCTGGGAAGAGCCCCTTTCCCCTAAATAAAGCTTTACAGCATTTTGAGGTTTTGAGGTTTATGTGATTCCACACCTAAATAACTCTAAAAATAGTTCATCCTAGTGCAACTCTTGGTGTCCTGGAAAGGATTCCATGGAAAACCTGACTGCTCAGGCCAGCACTTCCACATGTCTATGCAGACATCTGGTCTAACCTCTCAATCCCCAGGAGCCTGGCTTTGGGGACCGATTTTTTTTTAGTGTAATTTCACACAGCAAAACTATTAGCACCAAATAATATAAACAAGCTGCTGAATGTTGTGACTGTGACAAAAATGGATTTTACAACATTTAAAATTGCATTGTTTCTTCTCATTCTCTCTGGGTTATGCCAAAAATTAATGTTTTGCAGGATCTTTAATTTCGACACTTTCAGCTATAAGGTGTGTCTTTCGATGGTGATCACCAGTAAGTCCTGACTGAGCTCCCTTTCTGGTAGCAGCTGGGCATTCCTTTGCAGAATTTTCCTTCCGTCAGTTAATTACTTTACCAAAAAAAAAAAAAAGACTGCAAACTACAAATGTGCATATAGAAGTCGCTGTAGTCTTTGTAGTGCATTGTTCTCAGAAGTTTCCCGCAGGAGGAAGGCTCCACTTTATGAACTGCTGGAACAGCTTGCCTGGGAATGCCCAGCCCGGCCGCTTCCCTGACGAGCTCGCAGCTCGGAGCGCCCGGGGCTCGGTCCCGGGAATGAGGAGCTGCGCAAAAAGCGCCTACACCGCCATCCACCGGCCCCGAGCGCGTGGCACCAGGAGTGGGGCGCCCGCCACCAGAGCTGGGAAGATTCCCAGCAGGATCCGACACAACACTACCTTGCTCGCACCCGCGCAGCCCCCAGTCCCTGCCCGCAGAGAGCGGTCACTGGTCCCCGACTCCGCGCAGCCGGGACCGCCGCAGCAGCCAGTGGATCCCGGGACTCTCCTGACACCGAAGGGCAGCCGCAGACTAGACTCGGGTTCCTGGGGATCTAGCAATCCGTCCGTGATGCTCTTCCCTACCGTTCCTCTCCCGAACGAGGGGCAACGCTGTCCCTTGCCAGGACAGGATCGGAGCCCGCCAAACCCGGAGCAGCCTAGAACCTGCGCCCTCCGGCGGCCGGCGGCCGGTGCGCTTAGGCGGGTATGCGCCGGAGACAAAGTTGGCCCGCAGGGGACGCAGGAATTCCCAGCACCCCGCAAGTAGGACCGGTTCCGGGATGCCAATACTCAGAATGGTCCAGTGATCTCTGGGCACCAGCTGGTCGCGGGGGAACCGAGCGCGAGTTCTGGCTCTAAGCGGGACGGAGACCCAGGCGCGCGCACTTGGGAAAGGAGGCTTACATCTGGAGCAGGCAAGGCTGCTGCGCAGTCCTTCCCGATGCCGGGCGTCGGCGACGCTGGCGCAGAGAGGAAGCGGTGGATCCCCGAGGGGCTGGTTCCGACGGCCCCTCCTGCAGCCTCCCCAAGCGCCCGCGAGCCACCGAGTCCACTTGATGCGTGGAGGGCGCCCAGCGGAGGAGAGAGTCTGCAGGAGACGTGGCATCGTCCCTGGCAAGAAGAGAGGGGTCTCCAGATCGACCCGACTCGAATGCTGAAGGAAACCCTGCCCATGACCCTGGGAAGGTTCCGGACCTTGGGCGACTCGTGGCGCCCGGGGACTCGTCGCAGGGCGCTGAGCGCGGGGCTGGGGAAGCCGAAGCTCACCGACGGCAGGGAAAGAAGGTGGCACCCGAGGGGAAGAGGGGGCGGGGGCGGGAAGTGTTGACCCTGAATTCATCCCGACCGAGAGGTCATTCTACCTGTTTGCCGGCAGAGCGCGTTTAGTGGATCTTACCCGCTCCGGGGCGCCGGCTGGGCGGTAGCGCTCTTCCGGAGCGAGGGCGGGGGACTGTTTCGTGCAGGACATGTCTCGCTTTTTCCCTCTGTCCACTCTTATGTTGGTCGCTTTTCTCTGCTCTGTGTGCCCCTGGGAGAGGCACTACGGATGCCTTTGCTCCTCACTCAGGAAGAGGGAAGTTGAACCTCAAAGACAGGGGCCCCACATTTTGTTTGCTCGACAGATCCCCCCCGCGGACCACTCCCTCCTTTCACTCCGGTCTCTGGGTCCCACCCATAAGAACCTTTAATGACAGATCCTGCGCAACCCCACCTTTTTGCATTTAAAGAAGTTATTCTTCAAGGGCAGACGGGAAGCCAAGCTGACTGCTGGTTGGTTTTCCCCTCACACTTACACCGCGCGACGGCAGCGCGAAGAGGAGGAGACCTGCAAGTGTGGGCTGGGGGAGAGTAATTGGGAGCAAAGGAATTAATTCTCGGCTCTCCAAAATCTCCTTGTCACATCTCAGACCATTTTCTTTTAGCCAGAACGTAGCCAAGTAAAAATCAAAATAACTGCAGGCACTGGCAATTAATGGTCAATTTTTTTATTTCAAAAAATATTTAACGTTTCGAGGGCGAGCATTATTTGCATTAGGCAAAGGGAAACTTGTCTTCTGTATATGTTTAGTGAAGAAACTGCTTTTTCAAGACTGCCCGAGACTTTGCTGAGGCTGCAGGGTCGCGGGAGAACCCCCATCGGCTTCCATAAACTTAATTGGCGATTTCCTGCGGCGGGCATCCTAGGGCTGAACGGTAGGGCCACAACTCTGTCTGTCTGTCACTCACTAGCAGCCGCTGTTCCTCAGGAGGGCACCGCAAGTCTTTACAACGGTAAAGACTACTTTACCCTGAAGCCCAAGACGGTTGTCAAATGTTTCGCAGAAATAAAAAAGACTACATTGCACTTTTCTCAGAAATGTTTTTTCATCCAACTTCATTCAAGATCTAATGGAAATTTCAAGAATTACTAATGAGGTTATTGAATAAATCCATTTCCATTATTCTAGGAGGCCATGCATAATCAACCAAACATGTATCAGACACCCATTCCTTGAATATTATAGCTGGGGTGAAAATATAATTTGCAAAATCTGGGGGAAAAATCGCTATTTTGTTTCTGAAATGAGATGAGGAAGTAGAAAATATTGCACATGTATAGTACAATAGTTGGAACATTGATTCCATCAGTGTTCCAGGCATCAGATTTGGAATCCAATATCTGAAAAGTTTATCATAACTCACAAAAACTAAGCTGTTAATATGTGGCAGGCTTTGTACTAAACACTTTATGTGCATAGAGTTTCAGTTCTAGCAACCACTTTACCAGGTAGGTACTATTATTATTTTAGAAATGAGAAAGATTTATCACGTCAAAGTAAGCAGCCTAAATTTACACAGCTAGCAAGTGCTGAGCTGGGATTCTCCAGAAGCAGTGTAGTTTCAGGACTGTGTTCTTACTAAGATCCTGCCTCATCACAGGTCAGCACCACAGGGACACCAGCCTGAGAATCAAGAGCATACGGGATTCCACCGCCAGCTCTACCTTGAGCAAATAAGTAGTCTTTCTGGGCCACAGTTAACTCAGTTTATAAAATGAGGGTTGGATTCAATCCTCAAGGTTTCTACAGGCATTCTGAAGCCAAGTATTAATTTTCATTTCACCTCAGTTCTCTTCCATTTTCTGCCCTCTGGTGGAGGTGCTATAGGAACTGTGAAATTAAAGTAGTTAAATCTGAATTTGAGATAGCCAGGGTAGATGTCTCCCTTTCTCTTCTGCTTCTATGCTGTGTTCTTCTGAGAACTAAAGCTGATTGCATTGATGGTGTAAAATAAGCATTCCTTAAACTTCGTTTGAGCAAGAAAACCCAACTAGTCTAGTTACCAATGGCATCAGAGTGAATACTTGAGGTATTCTTTGCATGAGGGTAAACAGCTATTTTTACATTCTTTGTAACAAACTTTTATATCGTAAAAAATCATAAAAATGTTAGAAGTCTCATAACATATTTGAACTAATTTAAATATGCAGAGGGCTCACAATAATCTTCTATGACCTATTTGAATTGTTCCTTTAAAAAAACTTGCCACATTTGCTTTTCAACTTATTTTAAAGTGACAACCATCATATAGTTTCTTAAAATACTTTAATTTTACAAAAAGAAACATTTCTAGCCTTTTGAAATTTTTATTGACTAGCATTTCAAGCATATATCCAACTATTTAGATGATTTAAAAGAAAAAAACACAAACCTTAAAGAGATTTATGGAAAAATTAACTGAAAGGTAGTGAATATACCTCTGGAAAGGGTGATTTTACAGATCAAACTTTGGTCACAGATCATATTACAGACCAATTTAGTGCTTAGTACTACAACAAGAAAGAGCTATCTTAGAGAAGCAGCTGGCATCCCAGGATGATAACAGGCAAGCAGTGGCTAACATGCTACCCCACGGCTTATCTATTTAGCTGTTCATTCAACTAATACTCATTTAGGACTTGCTAGCTGCCAGATGAACAAAATAGAGTTCCTGCCCTCACAGAACTTTCAGTCTAGTGGAATAAACACATCAAACACGCCAATATGTAAACTATAGAAAAATACTTGAAAATAATGTGGGACTGGTTTTAGGGAGTTAGTGCTATTTTTAGCTGAGATCTAAAGATGCAAAGCCTTTAAGATAAAAAAAATATTAAAGAATATAGCAAGAAACAGGCAAACTGGACATTTGTCTATTACAGGGAGGGGAGAGTTTATTTAAACTAAAAGGGGAAAACAACATACCCATATCTGCAGTAATATATTCCAGCCCACTGAAACATTCTATATATGATGAAAGTAGCCCATATAGACATTCTATTTGCTGTATATAATATTTCCGGGACATCAATCCCCTACTCTAATACACCAGAGCAGTCATTGGGAAGAAGGTAGTAAGAACTGGCCCATAAAAAGTTTCAAAGAAATTTTATTTCTAGCACTCTTACACACCTAGTGCTAGTTTCCGTGCCCACCAAGGCCCCATACAGCAATTTTGTTGCCCAAATGCCCCACCTTTGGCCAGCATCTTGCCTAGTCTTCCCAGGGACAGTGCCCCCTCAGTGACAACGACCACGTGAGCAAAAACTGCGGTGCATCAGTTCATAACAATTTTTTTTTTCTGATTCATGAATCAATTTGTAAGAAAAGTCTTAAAGTTATGAGACTAAGTCACATTTATCTGTATTATTTTAGCTAAGAATTTCTAAGCACTATGTACCAGGCACTTCACAAAGTGACACATACATTTTCTCAGTTTTTAATTTTTGATACAAACCCAGTTCCTTTGTTGTACAATGAGAATAATAATAGACCCACCTCATGGGCTGTTATGGCAATTAAACAAATATGTAAAGTGCTTTAAAACAGTTGCAGACACATAATAATAGCTAACAGCTATTGGGAACTTACTATTATTTCTCCTTGCTACAATTTTACAGAAGAGGAAGCAACTGAGGCTTACAGAAATCAAATAATTGCCCAAAATCTGACAACCAATAAAATGGCAGAACCAGAATTGGAGCCCAAGCAATCTAGAACTAGACTGACCTCTTAACCCCCACCTTCTGTAGCACAATTATTAACACAGTAACGAAAAACGCCCAAGGAGTTTACAGCCCAGAATGACACTGTGAATTCATCCACCAAATATTTATTGAGCATTGTGGTGAGTTGAATAGTGTTCCTCCCCAAAATTAATGTCCACCCTGAACCTAAGAATGTAAACTTCTTTATTTAGAAATAGAGTCTTTGCAGATGTAATTAGTTAAAATGAGATTATACTGGAAAGGGTGGGCCCTCAATACAGTGTCCTCATAAGAGACAGAAAGGGACACACAGAGACATGGAGAAGAAGGCCACGTGAAAATGGAGGCGAGATTGGAATGATGCGTCTATAAGCCAAGAAACGCCGAAGACTGACCCCCACAAGCAGAAGCTAGCAGAGAGGCATGGAACGGTTTCTCCCTCAGAGTTGCCTGAAGGAACCAACCCTGCTGACACTTTGATTTTGGACTTCCAGCCTCCTGAACTGTGAGAGAATAAATTTCTGTTGTTTCAAACTACTCTGTTTGTGGTAATTTGTTATAGCAGGAAACTACTACCAGCATCTACTCTGTGGCTAGGCACGGTTCCCCACTCTGGAGGTACAGCAGTAAACAAAACTGCACCCTTGCCCTCATGGAGCTTACACTCTAATGAAGGAGATAGACAATAAACAAATACATAATACAATGACAGTACTGTTTAGTGCTCTGAGGAAAAAGTATTGTAAGAAGATAGAGGACTCGGAGATGAGGGCGATGAGAGTGGTTAGGGAATCTCTCTAGAGGTGGTGTAACTCAAATATCTCTGGTTTGTGGAATTTCAGGCTGTACATGGGTAATTCTTCACAGCACTATTTAAATATGTTCCCCCACATTAATTGGAAAGAAAACAGCAAGAACAGAAGCTCAGTAAACAACAGACTTCAACTTGCTCAAGAGATCAAGATTCTGAAATATATGAAAATGGTTTCCCAGATGGACACCTGGTCTCTATTGTCCCTTAAGAGTTTCTGGAGAACAGGGGAGTTCCCAGCTTCTCCCACCCCTCCCAAATTTATATCTCTTCTAGGAGACAGTAACCAGTACTCTGCTTCTTCCTCCCTCTATGAAGCTCACCAACCTCATGGGTAGACCTAAGGCTCAAGGCTTAGACTGGTCCAATCATTGCCCTTCAATAAAGAGGGCAACTTCCACAGACCAGAGAAGAGTCATAGCTACCTTATGTCAACTCGAGCTCCAG